CAACTTCTGTTAGACATTTTTGGGTACAGGCCACACAGAACTTTATGCCAGACTGTTTGCAATTTCTACTGTTTGACTTACATTGCCTGAAAAGTTATGTTACTGTTTGCTAAAATATTGAAGTTTAAGCTAATATCAGTAGGTGAGCACTGCTTCATGGCTATTAATGTAAAAAACAGTTACCATAGTCCATATAGTGATTTTAAAAACAGATGTTTGCATATGATTTATGGACACTTAAATATGTGCATATCTTCCATAAATAGTAACGTGTTCCAGTAATAAAGAGTCAAGAATTGTTGTCCAAGAAGACTGGGAAACTACAGGCAGTATGAGAATATGTTCAACAATTTCTTGGCTTTAAATAAAAAGCAAAGCTTATAGGTCTAGGGTGGCAATCCTGTATGTTTGAAAGTGTAAATTTTTTTCCCCCACCAGGACTAACAATGTGAAGTAACGCTCATTTAAATTGCAGAGTCAGACTTAATTGCTCAGATATAAGCGCTTAGAACGTATGAGTGTAGCTATGATTTGATAAATAAGAACAATTTGTTTTTATTGAGGTACAGTAAGTTTAATGCAGTAAGCAAAAAGCCCATATTGTCTTGGGTATTTTCTTTTTTTTTTTTTAAACATAAAATTTTGCTTTGGAAATGTTGTTAGTACCAAAATTTAACAAAAATACTAATCAGGTAAAATTCCAATGTGCAAAACAAACTAAATTATTTCTGGAAATGCAATCAAATATTTGATTGACTAATATCACTGCTGCTCCTCACATTTGCTCTGTTCCTAAATTAGCTTGGCTAATCAGCATCCCACTTCAGTCTGCTGTAAAACATGTAATGTTATTTGATGGATTTTATTTCAAAAGCACAGTCAGTTTTTGGATAACAGACTTACTAAATACTTAGTCAAAGGCTACAAATATGTGAATTAGCAGGCTTGGAGATGTACTGCTTTCTGGACCAGCAGAACTCCAAGAGGGCATTGTGATAGGTATGCATATCACACAACTTTTAATTTGGTTTAAGAACAGTTATGGGTTCATTATTTCTCCTCTGAAAATGCTTTTGGTGTGCCAAGATGCATTCCCCCCGCCTCCTCCCCCCCTTCCTTCCACAGGGGAGAACCAGGATAATTCTGCATAACTTTATATTTCTCTATACCATTATGTACAGAAGAGCAGCCCTGCAGAATACAAAATTTAAACAGAGCAGCCACAGTTTTCTCTCCTGTCTCTGGCTGGCATGCACTTGTGCTTCAAGACATTATACAGCAGCTACTTTTCTCCAGAAATGGCTATACTCCAGTAAATGGTGAAATACTCCCTAAAACATCTTTTTTCAGCAGAGGTTTATGAAGATGTTACCACAATTCTGTAGATTGACAGCAATGCAAAAACATTGTGATTGTCTGGTTGGATTTCTCGAAAAACATGGCCTTTAGAATTACCGCCTAAGTAAGAGCTGATGCTGTACTCCAACGCAGCATAGAAACAACTACAGCTAGCGTTTATAGTACAAGTCTTAGATTACAGTGAAGCTTACTGGATTCTCTTCTTGCCGTCTTCAAGACCACAGAAGAAACGAACGCTTTTCATTTTGTCAGGTGAAGACCTTCCTCTTTATGGAAGAACAATCTTCACTTTCAGCATATAATTCAAAGACATCCAAGAATAACTTGGAATCTCTAATAACAGGTCAGATGGATTTAATTCTTCTTGGTGGAAGCACGCTGTCAATGCACAGTAAGATTTAGTATCGTTGTTAATTTACCACAGGTAAAATGTTGATACAACATGAAGATTTAGCATTTGAGAAGAGTTTAATAAAGATGATCACAAAAAAAAGCAAAATGTAGAAAACTGATGAGTGATCATTCTACTTCTTTTTTTCAAATAAGCATCAGCTCATTTGCCAGCTGGTGTAAAGGCAGATGCCACTGATATCAGTGTGTCAGTTTACACTGTCTGATCCCATGTGTGTGCCATTTTTAGAAAATACCACTGGAATTCACTTTTGCAACAATTGAAAATACATCCACGCATTGCATTTCTTCCTGTCCAAGTGTATAACTGGAAGACTGTTGACAGACTGTGGGAGAGGGCAACTGGAAAGTGGAAGTAGCCAATAATTGTATGCATGAGATGATAACGCTGCAATAGAAGTATTAACACGATCGTTCTGCTGTCCTCTTTAGATACCAATGAGTATTTTCCTTCAAAAAGTCTTAATTCCAATTTCCAGTAATAATTCCATACCAACAAAAGAAAGAAATGTTATAAACTAGGCAGAGTACCTACCATATAATTATGTTGATACAGACTATTTTAATGCAACATTAGGGAACTTATCTAAAATAATAAAAAAAAAAAAAAAAACTGAGATCTGTTTGTTCACCTAAGTATTTGTTCCTAAAGGACTGCACTGCTGGACTAGCAATAAGACTTAAAAATATTAAAGCAGCTACTAACATAGGGGAAGGAGAAAGAAGAGGTGGGGCAACAAGCATGGCAGAGTAGCACTTCACAGCTCCAGCCATGATTTCTAAGCAGAGAGGGGGAATTCAGTGTTTCACAAAAAGCAGCTGTTAAACACAGGCGTAGTGTAGAACCAAAACCTAGCTGCCATTATTAACCAGTATAATAACATTGAAGATTTGTCTTTTGATTCAAGATACCAAGGTCAAAATAGAAAAAGCAAACTGATTAGAACTGAAGATGCAGTTCATGTAGCTAGTGAAGTAATTGTGCAGCACAACACCCATATCTTCAATTTAGGTCAGGCCATCAAGAGGAGCAAAAGGACTGAAGATGAGATGCTCTACTTCACACAGTTGCCCTCTGGAAGGTGCTGGCAAAGGCAGTCACTTAAATTAAGTACAGGTCATCAGACAGGATATCTAATCTATTCCTAAAACAGGCAGCTCTGGCAGTCCAAATCCCTATGGCCTTTACAGCGACACAACGAACTACTTCCTCATGTACCTCTGTCAATTCACGTTAGGTTCCAATTTTTTTTAAAGCGATATTTCATGTACACCATGACCCTATTGCTCATAGCAAGGAAAGTGCTTTGGTTTATTTATGACCTACTAACCTTAAATAAAAAAACACACATCCAATCTGAATGTTCACATAAGCCTGCAGATCTGAAATAAAACTTAAAATAAAGCTGGCATTTGTAATAGCTAGCTAAGCCCAGTAAGGGATTTAAAAAAAAATAAAATTAAAACCAGATGACAGAAGATGAAAGCATTTTTACCCTGCATAACCTGCACACATCAGGAACGATGGCTGGAGCTCAGGAGTAATTTTTTTGTGTGTGTGTTTTTGTACTTACAAGTTCCAGCCCTCTTCAACAGAGGCTAGGTAACCAAGGAAATACTGAGGTTTTCCCATTACGGGGTTGGGAGGGAATAATAACAACCTGTGAAAGTAATTACTTTTAAGATGCAATCCACCCAGTCATAAGCTCTACACGGCTACTCTCCTTCCCCTATACCCCATCCTACTGCCAGGTATCAGCCTGGCAAGACCTCATACTGAAATATGAAGTGACAGAGGGAAGCAGGGAATAAGAGCATAGGAATAAGTACTAAAAGAAATGGCATACAGAAGGAAAGCTTATAACAGGGAGGATGTTAAACATGAGTGACCCTAAACCATAGAGTCTGCTTATTTAGTCTATTTATTTTGCTAGAACAATGTTGAACAGATGCAAATGCACAGAAGACTACAGAGTTGAAGAGATTTATTGTCTCATGGCTTGTGCTGGTGCAAAAAAACTCTTTTCCTAACATCCGTGGAGTTAAACTGTGATAAAGCCAGTACAAATAAATAGAAACAAAACAAAACAAAACAAAACTTTAGAGCTAAAGTACCACAGCAGCATGGGATGTTTGCTGCTGTATCAGCAAATTAGGGGCTCACTGGCACAGTTGGTTGGAATTCAGAGATACTCATACTCACAGAGGCATTCCTAAGCAAAATATGTAAGTTTCTCCTTTATGGAGGATCGTAATTCCATTCTTGTGTAGTTTTCCAGCAGGCTGTACTAATTACTGTATTTTAGATACATTTGATAGAAATACAGGTGAGTTAAATGATAAAAAGTAATACATATCTGTAAATGCAGAATAATTAGTTGAAAGGAACAGCTTGGACAAAGTCCTTGTCTCATTATTTGCTTACAAAATATATACAGGCAGCACACTTATGACTGCACTCTTTTAGTTCTGGTTACCTTTATGCAACTATGAACAAATTTAACAAAACACATTTATTAAGTGCTTTTTTTAAATGCAGAAATCAATGAGAGAGTACAGGACTACTTTGTCCTCTGGTAATAGATTTAGCAAGTACCAATGCATAGAAGCCAATGTATCAGTCACAGTTTCCAATGCAACAATCTAAGAGCGGCCCTAACAAAAGGAATTCAGACCAAAGCTACAAGAGAACAGCCTTCTGCAGGAGAACAGCTTATAAATACAAATAAGTTAAAATACTTCTGTTACCTTGTTGTGCCCTCGTTACATTAAATCCTATATATCTATATTTATATACACGCTATTCACATGCACACCAAGGAAGATGAGAACTTAGTTGGAAAGTCCTGATATAAGAAAAAGTGTACTGTGCTACTGTGGAAATTATGAACTTTACTGTGTAATTTACTGTGTAGTGATCATGTTCTGGATATGGACAGCATGTTGACACCTAGAAAACATATGAACAGAAATTTAGAACATAAAACCACAATGTAATATCAAGAGGAGAACATCAGCAGAATAGATTTTACTCTATTGGGCAAATTATAATTGGTAACACCAATTCATAATGTTCTTGGCCAGATCTGTTAATACATGGGATCTTGTGTTTCGGTTTGCTATAAAGTTCAGTTCTGTAATATAACATACTACACTAATCCACTTCTGCCTCAATGTCCAATGTATATAGTTAAAGCTTGAATAAGTGAAATCGTCTTTTCTTTTCCTAGAAAGATGTTTGGAAAACTGCCAGCTTCTTGCACGAAGGTTGAAACAGGATGGGCAGAAAAGGGTGCTGGTGTGGGTAAGAGAACAAAGACTGAAATTGCATCATCTGTATGATTAAAATGATTGTGTCAATTTTGATTTTCCCCCCTCCTTTCAGACATTTAAGGACGCTGTCAAGTCAATGGAGTTCTGTTGTAGTGGTTGCTTCAGTGAACATTCAACGCTGTCGGTGAGTTTGGAATTAAAGTGAAAACCATCGACCGTTGATTGTACCCTCCAGCTAACCATCCTCCTCCTTACTTCATGCTTTCAGGCCTTCACACCGAAGATAGAAACCTAACCAGCACATGAGGTTTCTCTCCCACCCTGCCAAGCTTTACAAAAAAAAGGTCACAATCAACATTCATTGCTGTCGGTGGGTTTAACTATGTGGACAAGCTCACTGAACAATGAATGCAACTGTGGCCCCACATTTTACAGTTGCCATTGAGAGGAACATCAGCTCTGAAAGGAGTAGTAAGAAGCAAACACTTCTTATAGGCTACATTTTTTCTGGTCAAAAAATAGTTGAGGATACTCAGTTTTCACTACCTTGTTTTTTAAGTGTTTAATTCTGTTGACTGAAAAAACACTGCTGCCTTCTTCTGGAATATTGTCCTTGCAGGGTTTGGCATGGTTGAAACCATAAAAATCCTTGTTTAATATGTATGTAGAAGCAAATAATAAGGAACTTTGTGTATATGCACTCCTAGAGATTCAGCATAGGAGGAAAGGGTATTTAAATCTCATCTAAACTAGGCATTGTGGAACAGTTCACAAAAATGCCTTTTATACTCATCAAGACAAAAATAGAAATGAAAGCTGGAATTAAAATAGACGGCTGATGTATCAAAAAATCAGTTCTGTATAAAATTAATCTTATGCACCTAAATAAACAGTGTTAGCAAATGTTAGATTTACCTTTTCTACTGGTCAGAGGGATTACAGAAATAGATGTATATCCGTAATTATAATTGAACAATAAACAGTTACACTGTAAAATTACTGTATACTTCGGGTACCAATGTCACACTTAGTACTGCTAATAATAAGAAGAAAATAAACAAAGTTAAAGATCGCTGCTTTCTCCTTATTTCTTTAAAAACCTTGTTTATCCAGTCAGACACACACTGAGACCTATCTACATTTCAGAAGTCATCTAAGGTAAGTTCAGCCTTCAGACAGCACAATTTTGATACTCTGCAGTAGGGATTGCTTCCAAAGTTCAGTAATCACATGGCATTCATTGTTTCCTCTTCTAACGGAGGGGGGAGAGGTCTCATAACAATACTTTAGTTTGTTATTTACAAAGTATCTTCAGCACCTCAGTTACACAATTCTCTTGCTCACTGTACTTGCTTGTTTTATCCAGGTTTTATCATTTAGCAACTGCTAAACAGGATAAAAGCATCAGTGCTATCACAGGCGGATACATTTGTACTGGCTTCTTGAACTTGGAAACTGGCCTAGTTAAATTATAAAAATATATTTCAATCACGGAAAAGATCAGTCCTTGATCACATGCAAGACTGATACTTACATTAAAAAAAAATCAGTTTCTCCAAGAGCCACAATAATGAATTACATTAAACACCAGAACTGTGTGGATATTATTTAATGGTTGGGAATACTGTTTTTGTATTCTAATATTTGTTAGAGAAGAACCTGCAGAGTTCTACTGAGGTCACAAACAGAACAGTTGAGTACTAAAAGGAAGGGTAGCTATGGATGTACGGCTTGTCAGCAACACTACAGATAAGCCTTTATCTTTAGGTCTACTCATTTCTACACAGCAATGGGAACCCAAATTACTATTAGTATGATCCTTTCGTGCAGTATGTAAACCAAAAGCAGGACTCATATGTTCTATCTAGAAGGAGCAACTTTCAAGGTAAGTTGCAGCCAGTATGTTTTGCAACAGTATGCATCAAAATTTGTTATCGAAATAAGAACCAAGACTTTTTTTTCTGCAAGATATTTATCAATGCTACTTATAATTGTGTAATGCATTTATAAACATGAAGATAATTCAGTAATAGAAGATTGTGGAATTTGACAGCACTGGAAAGAAAGTGTCCTGGCACGTAATCACCTTCAAGTAGAGAAAAAGGTGCATACAGAAGCCATTCATGCTGCAATTGATAATGCTTGAACAATTACAGTTGGTGCAGGGACAGATTCCAATGCAGGGAGGGTGGAAATAATTTTTTTGTTTGGTTGGTTGGTTTTGATTGCTTTGACAATACTCTTCCTCAAAATAAACAAATGCTTTACTTGTTCAAAAATTTCTACAGTGATTTCGTTGCCTATGCTAAGTATTAAACAGTATTATTCATGCCATACCGTAAGTATTATTCATGCCATACCGTAACAGGTTGCAGAAACTTCAGTCAGTTTCAACCCAGGCACAGATAATTGGCCCACAGACATTACAAGGATATAACAAATATTTTCAACTGGACAACAAGCTTTTAACAGTTTCTGAAGAATAGACTCAACAGCAACAGTCTTTTCCCCACTCTTTAAAGTATAACTTTTTTCAGTTATTTGTCACATTTTCTTATCAAGACCAAAAAGTCTTCTTAGCAAACAGATATATACTTCATACAGCTTGATAACTAAAAGGTAATGTCTGCAGAACAGTAATTTACAGAAAGCTTATTGGCAAAGCAATGTCATTACTCCACACCCAACAACAGACATCGGCTTGCGTAGGCTTTCCTTACACCGTAAAGCAAGAGTGATCTCGGCAGTAACAGCAGCTGTGAAATACTGTGGAGAGGTTTCATGGTCATTTTCAGATTATTTTTTTTTTTTGTAAATATAAGACATATGTACCCATTGCAGTGCCCACGGGCCACAGAGACCTTCTAGAAAATTGTTCCTTGGTGTCATTGTAAATAATTCACTCACAGCAATATTTTTAGGTCAAGCATATCAAACTTACAGCAAATGCAATGGACCTTGACATAATAGGAGCACTAGCTTCATGGCAGCAGTGGAAGAGGAGGTAAGGGAACATAGTTTCCGTACATAAGAGATCAGTCACTGTTTCCCAGTGCTTGAAGACAGAAAAGATGGTAAAAAAGGGCTGCTATTAGGTTTGCAGTCACTGAGGTTTTAGTTATCTCCAAATGTCCATGCATTTTTCCTGACTTCTGGCATAGGATGAGTGAAAACATCTATCCCAACAATTTTAGCATCAAGTCTACAACTTCTGTTCAGTGAGTACACAAAGACAGGTAATCTTACCTTTAAAATGACTGAATCCCTACAACAGAAATCAGCTGTGACTCAGGACCATAGCAGGATGGAAATGCACAGCCAAACATCACCACACTAACATTTCTTCCTTTACGAATAGCCAAGTGACATACAGAAAGCTAATAAGATAAATATAATAAGTCTGTAGCTGGGTTGGAAGTCAAATCTAGATGATCTTGCCTTCCAGTCATGTCCTGTTCTAGGGAAGAAAAAATGCAATCTTGTAATTGACTTTTCCCTGATGTGAACACCATATTTTCCATCTTGCTGACCATCCCCTTTTTCTTTTCATTTGATATTTATTTTTGTTTCCTGCTAGAGTTGTAGTCCACTACATCACTCCAGATTAATATTTATATCTTGCCCTTGCTTCTACTTAGCATTGTATAATTTTGTCTCGAGTTTTTTTTTTCCCCTCATTTTTGTTTCAAGTCTTCCTGTGCATCCTACTTAAGTGCAAGTCCCAGATATGCAGACTGCATTCCAAACAGCCCAGCCAAGGCCAACTGAAATAGTCTGACGTCTCCTTATTTTACAAGGAACTACTGATCGTTTCCAGCCAAAAATAGCATTTGTAATGGCACTATGCACTTAACACATTTAAATTTATCTAACATTATTCCATAGATATTACTGTCCACAAGTTTTCCTAATTTGAAGTAGATTATTTCATCCCCCTGAAATGCAACACTTGCCATTTTTTGAACTTAGAAATTTCTAACTCTAATTCAAACCCTAGCTTTTGAAAAAGTAGAAACCATGGCAGCATACACGGAATGAACCCACAAGGATCATCTAGTCCACACACTTTTTTTTTTTAGATAATTAAAAGTCTCGTACAGACTTCAAAAGGGACAATGGAAAGAATGACTACAAAACCAACATTTTTTTCAATGAGCTTAAAGACATTCCCCCTCACTTACAAATGAGCTGTTTCCAAGATACATAGACATCAGAACTGTTGAAACATTTGCTATTTGTCACAACTGGGAGATGTTGGGGATACTGTCTCAATTTAAATAAAGGGAAAGTCCAAAATCCAATTAGAAAAGTTAACTACTCAATAAGAAATCTATTAGATGTAATTTAGTGCAACTATTTTGCATTATTGTATCCTCTTCTGTTTTCATATTACAGTGTTCTGTTTAACTGCCCCTCCAAGAAAGATGAAGAGCAAGACCATTTTCTCATAAACATCCTTCTGTAGTCTGCATTGAAAAATTTATTTACAAGCTCAGTGTTTTACATCACCATGTTAGATCCTTCACTTTGAAAGGAAAAATAATCACAAACTGAATATGCAAGTGTGCCTGGCATAAATGTATCTAAGGTCTATTTTTTAATTTAAGAAAAATTGATCTGAGGAGGAATTGGGGCCAGTATTAAAATTACAGAACTTCTAAATATACATTTATTATAAAAGAGACTGAAAGAATTGTGCAATTTCTACATTCACTGATTACATCACTGCCTTCATACTGTCACTGGAACCACAAATAGTCTTCTCCTCCTAGGTCTGGATCTGAACTGATACCCAATAATGTAGGCAAGACTCCAAATGTAGGAGCATCCACAAAAGCTATGAATTAAAACAACAACAACAAAAAACTTTGTCCATATGTGTCAGTAAACCAGAACTAAATCCCCCAACTCTGCAGCCAGAATATGCAGGGACACTACAAATTCTGGCCTTCCCTGATTTTGTTTCGTGAGTTACAGCTGCATGCAAGTTAGCCCTAAAGTTTTTGATTTTTTTTTTTTTAATTTAAACTATCAAGTTTGTAAAAAGGTTATCACGAAACCTGAAGGTGCAAGTAAATTGTGCATGGTTTTTTGATATTCTCTATTAGAAATGCCACACTAGGTCTAGATAAAAGACAAATCCAAAATGGACCAGGTACCACTGTTCTAGGGTACCAGTGTTCAGAATAAGTCAGGCAAAGAGGCAAGAGAGCTGGAAAATAACATTCCCTTGGCCATTAAGGTGGAGAAGTTTCACCTTGCATTCAGGATGAACTACATTATACATAAACTATTTACCTGAACTATGGTATAATTTGTCATGGATGGCAAACTATACCAATAATCATGCTATTAAGCTATTTGATTGCATGGAACTACTCCTCAGTAATTAAGCAGTTAAAATATCTTATCATAGACACTTTGAAACAAAAAAAAAATCACAAAAATATTAATTTTTAGCTAGTGAGAGCTTAGTCCAGGTGGTTGCCCTCTAAAGTCAACATCACCATCTGAGGTGTAAAACATTCCTAATTATCATAAAGCACATCCTGTACTAATTACAGTTTGCCTCCAACTACTGTGCCATAACAAGCCTAGAGTTCACGATGATAGATTTACATTTAAATGTCATGCAGTTCATCGTCCTCTATCAATATGCCCCAGGTTAACACACTGACATAGTCACTGCAGCCACTGCCCTACAGACTAGGGAAGCCACAAACTGCTAATGGAATACCAAAATTATACAAAAAAAAAAAAAAAGAAGTTCCATATGTATTCTGGATACAATTGAAGAGGAAAACAAGAAAGCAAGAAAGAGACAGTACTTTAAAAGACAGAAGCTGCCATGGCCTAAGATCTGTGTACAGCCCCAGAACAACTAGGGGACATCATTCCAGACATTTGCATGAGTCATGGTCAGCTAACTAATGAATTTAGATTCTCTGCTGGTTTTAGTTAGCACACATTGATTTCAGTGGAACTATGCCAATTTATACAAGCTGAGGGTTGGCAAATCAACATGCAAGAGAAATATAAAAGTAGAACAGGTCCTGTACATCCTACACTAAA